TATATATATATATATATATATATATATATATATATATATATATATATAAAATTTTCTTCGCCGTTAAAAAAAAACTACTCATAACATTAGTTGTAGTAAGAGTTCATTAATAAATGAATTTCTGTTTTTCTTTATTTTTTACAAGCTAAAACACATTGATGGGTACTAAACACCCCACACGATATTATATTATTTCCAATTTTTAATTGTGTTGATATATGCCACGTCATCATAAAAAAATAAAGAAGAAAAAAGTAAAAGCAATTTCCCCCAAACCACTTTGAATGTTAAAGAAACCCTGAAACCCCGTTTCCATTACAAAAGCAGTCTACACTCACACTCTACACCACTCTGTGTGTCTCAACGGCAACACCAGCTGTCCTCCTCGTTAATGGCGGTTTCAATCTCCGTTCTCGTCGTTATCGTGTCCCTTCACCTCATGGCCTTCGTCCTCGCCATCGGCGCCGAACGCCGCCGTAGCACGGTACTCAATTTTCTCAATTCCTCCATGTATATCCGTAATTGAAGCTCGTAATAGTAGTAGTATCTTATTTATCATCCGTTTACTAATTATTAGGCAAAAGTGGTGCCGGACCAGTACGATGAGTACGATTACTGTGTCTACGCCTCCGATGCGTCGACGGCGTATGGTTTGTCGGCGTTTGGGCTGTTGCTCATCAGTCAGACGGTTGTTAGCGGTGTTACCAAGTGTTTATGCTTTGGTAAAGGTCTCGTGAGGGGTAGGTCAAAGACTATTGCGATCTTCTTCTTCATTTTCTCCTGGTAAGTTTCATTAATTCATTATTAATGCAATCATATCATCTAGAGTTCAATTGAAATACAGTTTGAATTGTATCCAGTGATCTTCAATTTGCCGATTTAGTTTCTAGTTAGGGCAAAGTGTGGGTCCTTGATGTGCTTTACTTGTCACTTAGCAATGAGTAGTTGAAACAAACTCCGGATATTTGACGTGTTGGGAATATTCCTGCTACACTGCCAACGTTTACTCCACATGGAAAGTATAATCTATCTGTTACCACTTTAATCGATCTGATTATCTCATTATCATGCGATTAATGCTACATTATTCAATTCCACTTCCAATTCCATGGTGATTGAATTCCATTTCCAATTCCAATTCCAGTTCCAGTTCTTATCTTCATCTTTTTCTTACAATGTCATAACAAGAAGAAATGAAAGTTGGATGCTATAAAAACAAATGAACAAAAGGACATTGCTATTTCTTGCATATCTATTTCTTGCATATCTATTTCTTGCATATAACCCTGTGAATTCTACTCAATTGTAGGATCAGTTTTCTTGGGGCAGAAGCATGTCTACTTGCAGGATCTGCTAAAAATGCTTACCACACTAAATACAGAGGCATCTACCATGTAACAGATCTCTCATGTGAGACTTTACGTAAAGGTGTGTTTGCTGGTGGGGCCGCGTTGACTTTTCTTTCAATGGTGGCTTCGATTGTCTACTATGCGGTCCACTGTAAGGCGGACACGGGTGGATGGGAAAAGCACCAGAATGAAGAACTAGGTATGACTTCATCTGGTTTTACCGGGAATCAGGGTCAAAATGCTGGTCAATTTGAAAAGCTTTGATTAAGTTAATAATTTCGTTAATATTATTTATATTATAGAAAAAGAAAAGAAAAGAAATATGAGATTTAAGAGTTGTGTTTAAGGTTATTATATTAAGATTAATTATTAGTGATTATGTACAACTTTTTGATGTTTGAACGTGTTAATGTTGAGTATGTACATGAATGTTCATGTGGCTGTGCTATGTTTGATTAGGAAGCAAAACATTCATCGGTGGGAATTAAACGTCCCTCAAATTCATATGTTGAGGGATTGGATTTGTTCGACTGATAACTTGTCTCTAAATTAGGGGTGAGCATTTGGACCGTACCAGACCGGTTTTACAGTAATTGGTGGACCTTTGACTGGACCTGTTGAGGCTTACCAGGTCCGGTTGCCAGTTCTTGAACGTAAAAATGAGCATTTGGACAGGACCGAACCTGTTTTGCAGAAATTGATGGACCTTGGACCGGACCTGTTGAGGTTTACCAGGAACAGGTCCGGTCTATAGGTCTAAATGCTTACCCCTACTCTAAAAGCAATGCAAAGGAAATGTTGGGATGTTGTGTGCGCCTATGACTTATTGGGTTATTTGTTCATTCCAAAAAATGATTTTTTTTGAAAATGCTTTTGAAATGCAACCAGTTATGATAGTAATATGTGACATGTAATTTGTAGAAGTACAAGTTCTCTATGTTATTCCTTGCAATAAATCTTGTTTATTGAATGCTTTAAGCCATTTTCCAAAATTTTACATGAACAAAAATACAAACTATTATGATTTCAATTATTTTAGTATTCATTAGAAGTAAATTATAACAAAATCAAACAATTTTACTAGTGGCCAAATAATGATATGAATGAGTTGTCATTCTTTTTACTTATAAGTTAACTTTTGGCCAGATGAATACATATGAATAATTGAACAAAGCTAAGTAAAGTAAGAACGATTTTGAGTTTATTTATTTTGAAAAAGATAAAAATTAAAAATGGAATAAAATGATATAAAGTATAAACTATTACACACACCTTCCATTACTTGGCACATGTTATAAAATGGTATAAAGCATAAACTATTACATACTCCTTCCATAACTTGGGACATGTTAATTCTAGAGACAAAACTCCAAAGTCATCCCTTTCTTCCTTTTGCAAACCTTTCTTAATAACAAAGATTAGAACCTACTTTTCACTATAAAAGTGGCATTTTATCTTATTCTTTTTGGCACAAATCGCATATACCAACTCCCAAAATACATCAATCTTGTCCACCTCAATAAGACAATAACCATGTCATTATCGCAGTCTTCCGATTCAGATGATCACCACACCCACCAAAATAATGCAACAACATTCAAAATATATTTTCATTCCTTCATTGGAAATGGCCCTGGTATTTTATAGAAAAACTTAAAACACTTTGAAGTATTCAACAAATGTGTATATGTTCTTAATTATCATTTATAACACAAAGTTTGATGTGCACCATTTCAGTAGCAGACGTTCTTTTATGGAGAAACACAAGAGTATCGGCATCACTTTTACTTGGGACTACTACAATGTGGTTTCTTTTTGAGGTTTATGAATATAATTTCGTTTCTCTTCTTTGTAACCTCGCCATTATTGGCATGTTGACAATCTATGTCACATACACCATGGCCAAATATACTCAATGGTAAGCTAATTACTTTGACATATATGAAAACGATTAGTTGTTATATGTAAATTTAATCTTTTATTATACAGGGATCTTCCGGATTTTGAAGAAATCACCATACAAGAAGCAGCATTTAAATGGTTATATAAGAAAACAAACAGATTGTTACTTGAATTTTACTATACAGCAAGTGGAGAGGATCTCATTCGTTTTTTCATGGTATGTGTGAAACTTATGTTGAACTAAAAATGATTAGATAAAGTTTTGACGTTAAAATTCATGTGATGTGCTATTTTTTGGGTTCTTTATAGACACTGATATCGTTATGGATGATATCTGTTATTGGAAGCCATTTCAGTTCTTTGAACCTTATATACCTTTGTAAGTTTGAACATTTGTCTTTTTCAAAATTTATAATAGATTTAGTTGTACATATGGTAATGGATTCATCTTTTTTGTAGGTTTTCTTTGTGTTGGAACCCTACCGGCTCTATATCAACGATATGAGAAAGAAGTTGATTACCTTGTAAGCAAAGCGATTAGAGACATGAAAATTGTTTTGAAACAATTTGATTCTAATGTTCTTAGCAAGATCCCAAGAGGACAAGTGAAAGAAAAGAAACGCAAATAAACTGCAAAGGCAGGTTAAATAAATTATTACAGAAACTTGTATATATGACCGTTTGTGTATAGAATTATTATAAAGTATAAGTTAAAGATGTACACGTGATGTTGATACATATGTAAATCAAATACAATATCATATTTTCTTCCCAATATTTCACCATTAATTGCGTAGCTAGCAAAAATAGTTCAATTTTTGTTTATGAAATGATGCGCCTATTTTCCGGTATTCGTGTAATACTGATTCTCATTCCAAACAATAAGTACATATTTATATTGTTGATATTTTTATTCAAAAATTGTTTCAAAAACATATACATAGCACGGAAGACTTAAGATTTGAACAAAATAAAACTAGTTTTATTCCCACCAAAAGATTATTTTGCAAAACTAAGAAATATTAAAACAACCATAGAAGGAAAGTGTTACAATCTTTGAAAACTTTGGTTTATTTTGGCAATTAGGACGTTGATGAAGATGACTTTAAGTTCAAAAAAAAAAAAGCTCTATAGAAGTATCCACCAAGCAAGAGTAGAACCATCAAAATATGTTAGTATAACACTTGTAAAATGTTGTTCTTAAGCTTTAAGACACATTCTAAAATATGTCTAAAGAGAACCAACACTTAATCCTTCACTTGTAGCACCAAATTGTAAAAGAGAAGACGAGAATAAGGGGCTTGATCTTTGAATTTTGGCAGCCCTCTAGAGAGCATATTGCTCTTAGTTTTGAGCTTGAAAAGGAAAGGAAAACATGCAAGTGAAAAACTAGCTTGAACTCTTGTCTCATTGTAACATCCGTCTCTCGAGGTATTATTTAGATTATGTAAATTAATATTAGCTTTGGGCTAACACTTGGACAATGGACCTTTAGGGGTGGACCTTAGCAAAATGGGCCAAGAAGTTGGGCTGCCCATAAGCCGTACGCTGGGCGTAACCTGGCGTACGCGGGGCGTAGTGGCACATTGGATTCGAGGGACTCGGGGGCGTACGCGCAGCGTTCCAAGAGGTACGCCCAACGTATGCGGGCAGATGCCAAACCCTAATTTTTAGGGTTTAAGACATATAAATACCCCATTATAGCCTCCCCTCTGGCCTCCTCATCAGTCCCTCACCCTCATAAAACCCTAGTTCGCCTCATACTCCATTTTTGTGTGTGCTTGACCTTTTTGAGTTCATTTTTGTGAAGAAAGGCTTGGAAGAAGTGAAGAGAAGTTGGAGGAGAAGCACTTGAGTATCTTGAGCTCAAGGATCTGGAACTAGTTCATCTTTTGGCACCCAAAGGAGGTATAAAGCTCCTATCTTTCCTATTCAAAGCTTAGATCTAGGGTTTTGAAGCTTGGACCTTTTTAGGTCCAAAGAATGGATATTGTTCATGTAACTTCGTTTTTGAGCTTAGGGTTGCCACCCTTGAAGCTCAAAGTGTACCTTTAGTAGTAAAGTTGCAAGCTTTGAGGTCTTTATGTAGCCATGCATGAGATCCAACCATTTCCATGGAAGTTTATTGCTATTTTTAGAGTTGGGTTCATTTGGTGGGTTGCAAGCCACCACGTGATCGACTTTATGGGTTAGGATGAAGTATTGGACTCAGATCTGTAGTTTGGATGTAGTGTCTTAAGGGATTAAGCAGTTTTGGAGAAAATGGCTTAACAGGAGAGTACGCTGGGCGTACATGCCAGTACGCGCAGCGTACAAGCCATTCAAGCAGTACGCGCAGCGTACGCTCAGACAGTGGGCTTTATGTTATTGGGTCTCGGTTTGGGCCAAGCTTTGGACATAGCAGTAGTTGGGCCGTGATGGGCCTTCAAAAGCCAGTCAAGGGCCCAAGGACTAGTAGGGCTTGAGAGGAAAGCCCATTTGAGGAGTTGGGCCCAATTTAGAAAATTGGGCCATTTGGAGACTTTAATGGGCTTTATTGAGTTTGGAAGGACTAGAAAGGATTGGGACTAGGTCATGGCCCAAATTAGATCAAAAAGGGGTAAAACAGTCATTTTACCCTTAGAATGATTCTCAGTTTTTGACTAAGTGTTTATTTGGTCATAATAGCTGGAGAGTAGTTGGAGCAGCGGACAAAGTTACCTTGTACGAGTTTTCAGCAGCCAGACTGAGAGGTGAGTTCTCTTCCAGTAGGAACGGGTCTAAGGCCACAATGTCGGCCCGTTTAGATGTTATTAGTTCCGGACTACGGTCCGATGCCAGGGCGGTCCCGAGAAGAGTATATGTATGCTTGATGTCTTCGTGATTCATGCATGTTATGTGTTATGTGTTCCGGGGCAAGCCCGATGTATGTTAGCTTATATGTTATGTGTTATGTGTTCCGGGGCAAGCCCAATGTCGGGGTTAGCCCGATGCAGATTACATGTTTCCGGACTTCGGTCCGATGCCGGGGCGGTCTCGAGAAGTAGTTATGTATGCTTGATGCCTTTATGATTCATGTATGTTATATGTTATGTGCCGGGGCAAGCCCGATGTATGCTAGTTTATATGTTATATGTTATATGTTCCGGGCTTCGGTCCGATGTCGGGGTAAGCCCGATGCAGGTTATTTGATTATGTTATGTGTTATGATATATGTTATGCTGTGTATGTGTCGGGGCAAGCCCGATGCCGGGGTGAGGCCGATGCCAGACGTAGTCTGATGCCGGGGTGAGCCCGGTGCCGGGCAGGAGTCCGATGCTGGGTAAGCCGATGTCGGGTTCGTCCTGATGCAGTTGGGAGTAGCCCCAGAGTTATGTTATTTTTTATATGACATGTGTATGGTATGTGGTAGTTTGGGGAGACTCACTAAGCTTCGTGCTTACAGTTTTCAGTTTTGGTTTCAGAAACTTCGACTTTCACAAGAGGAGCTCGGGATGATTGCTGTGCACACACCATTTGTTTAGCCTAAGATGTTTATACTCTGATATATTTGACATGTGACTTTGATACATGAGTTATGACTTTTATATGATGAGGATATTTATGGTTTTATTAATGGTTTAAAACGAAAATTTTGGGCTGTATTTTTGGGATGTTTCACTCATACCACTCTTTTATACAAGCAAATGCATAGAAAAGTTAAGACACAAAAGCAAAAGTGAAAGTCATTTTTTCTTACAAAGCATGGAGAAATAATAAACAATTTAACACTCCAACTAGCCATGTCTTTAATCATATTAAACTAGAGCCGTAAGAAGCATGGTATGAGTAATAAACAAATCATAAAGTGATATTGTCTCTTTAACCCTAAAATTCGACTAACATAAGGAAGAAGACAAAATCAAAATGTTCATTACATAACCCATGACTAGTTATATTAGATGTAAATATTTTGTTACTTAAAGTGCCCAAAAGTTTTTACACAACATCAATAATCAATAATATACCATATGATATATATATATATATATATATATATATATATATATATATATATATATATATATATATA